ACGCCTGAGTAGAACAGCTTCTATCCATTGAGGTTCAGGAGTCCAGAGCTTGGGCTTTTTGTTGACGAGAGTCCAACAATGTCGAGTTGGTACTTCGTGGCCTCGTAAACTGCTTCATGTTCTTTTCCTCTGAGTGAGGATATATTCTAATTCCCGACTTTAAGCTCACACTGGTGTCGTTTCCGTGGACCCTTTTCTGACGTGCTGTACTGACATCGCGCTGTTTGCCTCCACCGTTCAGAACGGGTACCGACTCCGTTGCTGACTGGTATCTTCGTCGTCGTTGCGTCGGTCTTCGTCAGCCGTCTTTGTGCTGCCACGCCCTTGGCTATCAGAGGGCAAAGAGCAGGTTCTGATCGCCGACTTTTCGCAGTTTGCCTCTGTCCCCCAACAGCCTGCGCGGCCCTTGGTAACCCAGGCGACTACCGAGCTGGTATAATTTTCGACGGCGTCAATACCATGAGTGGCAGGTGGCTGAATTTTACGGAGACTTGCCACGGTCTCCAACCCTGCTCCTTTCTCATACGGGCTTGGGCTGGCCATGGCGGGGTTAGTTTAGAACAAATATGTTAAGTTTCTGCGAAACATTACTGAAGTGTTTCTGATAAAAGTCACTGCTAATACTGCCTTGGATGAGTAGCGTCGTATAGAATGAACATTGTGAAAGATCATAGAGTGGAGAGACAGACAAGGAGAATCTGGAAACAAGAAGCATTCAAAACTGAGAATAATGAGTGGTCAACGCGCATCACAGAGGTCAGAGTGAACAACAACAGGCAGTAGTAGAAACCAGTTTTACATGGGCTTCAGCTCATGCAATATCTATAATATGGAAGACTGAATTTACACAGTTACGAAACAGTGGCAAGAACTTGCTGGCATAAATTCGTCGTTAGTTTTCAATGTATCGCTTATTTCTGTATGTAGAATGAGCAGCCTAGTAGATGCCGTTTAAATTAGGCATTACTGTTCATCCAAAGTCTCTGTTGCATAAGACAGTCGTTGTCGTGCTATTCCTTATCGAAGGCCAGAGAGCAGCGTTTCCCAAGGTGAAAGTTGAAAATTTACTATACTTTTTGTCATTGTGAAAAAAGACGCACTAACAAACCGTTCTCTTTGTGATTGTCATCGTTAACCCGAGCTGCAAGACTGGTAGGAACAAACAAAGTGTTTGATTAAAAATAACCACAAGTATAATTCTGTTCAACCAACCAGTTTAAAATGATTATGTGTTTACCTATTTGACGGTTTATACTCGTAGTCAGGTAAAGGACAAAATGTTCTCTGGAGAATATGCAGTAAGCAAAGTGCTGAAAGCTGTCGTCTTTCAAAATAAAACACTTGTATTTTGCACCATGGAAATAATGCAGTATTTATTAACAATAAGCCAGTGGTTGTCTTGGAAAAGTATCAGTTTCCAAAATGTTGGTAAAATTTCTGTAGCGTGCGTTGAACAAATACTTCCGAACAGAAAATGCTGTTATCGGCACTTTTCGGCTATCACCTTCATTCACAATGTTCTACTTCAACTATTTTGGAACGGAAAATGTGCACTGTCCTACCACATTACCCTAGTGCCTCTTTAGGCTGTTTTACGCTGTAACCCATCAAATAATTATCAATCACAATGAAAGCATTAGCACAAAGCTTGACCCTTAAAGATGGCTAAACACTTTCAATATAAAAAATT